CGAACTCATGGAGGTAGGGAGCGAACTTCGGGGGTAGCAGTTCTTTTCTCCCTGATAGATAATTTCCCCCTTGTTGCCTTAACTTGTTTCAATCGTTTGCGAGGTTGAAACCTTGCCAACCAAAAATATACATTTGAGTGTTTGCCATCAAAGTCTGAGTTCGAATTAACATTCGACTTTAGTGAAAAACTCACAGAAAGTGCATAAAACGGATAAAAGCAAGTTTATGTTTTTATCCGTTTTATGCACTCTCTGTGAGTTTTTCACTAGACTGATTGTGCAACTTTTGGTCTCGTTCATTCGCTTTCCCAACACTGTTGTAATTTCAGGTTGGAATTCTAATATTCTTTTTTTTCTGCCTCTCAAAGTGGAATGTGACTCTATGTTCTATGGTAATTATTGCTCATCCGTTTGTAACTATATTTTGTGTTTTAGGTTTTTCTGCACTTTAAATTTTCAATGACGATGTTTTGAGTTTTAATGTATGATAGTTTCGCTGCGGAGTGAGAACTAAATTCATTGAAATATATGTCTAATGAAATTCGAGAAAGTACGTTTAAATGACGTGGAGAAAAATTTGTATAATTTAACAGTCCAATACTTTTTATAACAACTATGATTTTTCTTTTCGCTTTTATAGAAGCGACCTCTTAAATACAAGGATTAATACTTTCCGTGTGCTTAGGGTTAGTACTTTCACATCATAAAAATAATATCAGTGAAGAATGTTGAGAAGACTAGATAGTAAGGAAAATAAATTAAAAGGAAATCAATATGACTTGAGAAAGTTTAGGTGGAAAAAACAAACTTTTAAGAATATTAAATTAATTTTCAAGACTCGATCTCCAGACCTTTCAATCTCGAGGCTGATGTGCTGACTACTAGGCTACCATAGAACACTAGGCTACTATAGCTGTCCGTTTATAGCAAACAGACAGATTTCTGTTTAATATTTTATATACTTTTTTGGTATTTTATAATTCATTAACATGAAAACTAGATAAAAGCGAATAGGAAAGGATCGCTTGGACGTGTTTGGGATGAAATTATTTTAAAACTAATTTTCCTTTCATCTGTAATTATTTTTAATTGATAAATTTATTTAATAATAATTCATTTTTATTAGTTATTTTTATTCATTCTTAACAAATATTCTTATTTAATTGATTCTTTTATTTCATTTAATTCAGTATTTATTTAATAAATTAATTTTGGCTAATTGCACGAGTTTTAAAAATAACCCCTCACCTGGGCATCGAATCCACAAGCTCTTACATGGGAATTACTCACTTACCACAGTCACCGGAAAGACGCTTTGAGAAGTCTGTCTTTAGATCCTAGTCAACATCGAAAACAACTATAACGTCACTGCTTGGGCAAAATGTTATCTCTCTTCAAATTCCATCTTGCCTGCCACCCCCGTTTTACGAAATCTCCCAAAGAATTGTATTCTCAAGGACTAATCAGCATATCTCTAACAACATCCTTTATATTTCAACCAATCAGCGCCTCCATTCCTTGAAATGGTATGAACACATATATTTCTTATAACTTAAGTCATTACTTAAAATTTATTCTATTCCATTTTAATTGTAAAGCTATTCAACATATTTTAATTTTCTCTTTTTATTTTATAAGCATACTTTTTTACTTCCTTGTACAAAGTAAAAAGGAACATAAAAATAGTATGTAATCGCGAAAGTTCAGGCAGCCTATTTCAACGAAATTCCATTTTGACGCTATCGAATGCAATTTTAGCGATTTTTTTGCGTGATATATGTACGTAAAGACAAAAAAATAACAAAAAAATTATAAACTCTTTAAAATGAATTCGAAGAGAATTTTCGTGGCCTGTCGAATGTAGTACGTACCTATCTCGCAACTCAAAACAGTAACCGCGAACATTTAAATTTTGTATATGGACCCTATAACCTGTAGATTTTAAAATATATTAATATTATTTTAATAACTTCAGTTTTTACTCTTATTAGTTTGTTTCACTTTTTGTTGAAATTGATTTGAAAATGAATGATTTTTGTTTTTATCATCCGGTAAGTTTTAGCCTTTAGTAACAGTGCGAATATTTTTAGAATTATCAGAATTTAAAGTTGTTTAAATGATGCTAAGCCTGTTTTTTAATGGCGGCCATTGAGTTTACATTTGAAACGGATACTAGTGGTTTTTTGCCAATTAGAGAACTTAGCTAGCAAACAAATATAACGCATTCATTTATTTGCCACAAACTGCTTAATCTTTCTGGAATTTTTTTCGAGGAATAAGCTTTGAGATTTACTTCGTAATTTTTAATATACATATTTTGAGTTGTTATGTATTTTTGCCTCTCGCGAAGAGAACTGATTACTAAGAGAAATACTCAAACCTATGGAAAAACTGGTTTCTTTTTGTTTTGTTTGCTAATTTCTTTATACATCGTTCTAGCTTATTATAGTATTTGAATAGAACTGTGGCAACGCTTAGATATTATTTAAATGGTATACTTTTGTGCTTCTGATTATAAATACTGTTAGTAAACCTAGCGCATAGTTCGCTATGGTAAACAAATACTAGAGTGAATTTTAAAGAAGATTTATTCTATTTTGTATGCGCTATCGGCGAAGTAGATTTAATTCAATCCAAAGTTAATGAAATGGCAAAAAACTGCTTATATGGAATGTTCCTACCGGAAGTATGTGTGTACACATCAGATTTATTTTTGTTTTCCTTCATGATCACAAATTAAAATTTATAATTTTTTGTCCCATATTTCCTGTGCTTTCCAGCCTAATTTATTTGAATTTCTTATACGGATTTTTTTGAAAATCATATTTCAATTATTTTATACTTGAATATATTCTTTAACCTTATTTTTTTTTTTTTTTTTTAATTTTTTATTTACAAAATACTATTGCTTTCAAAGTTTAATTCTTCTTTTCGCTTTTTAATTTAAAAAATACCTTTTGCAATTTTAGCTTATTTAATTTACAAAACTAATATTTGTTTTCTTAATTTTAATTATTTTTCCACCTTCCTGTTTTCACAAACGAAATTTTGCTTTTATTTTTAGTCCTTTCTGTATTTTACATCGGAAATCAATTTTAAATTTTCGTTTTCTCTTTTTCTTTATTATTTTTACAAATGTAAAAATTTTATACGTTTGATTTTTTTTCTTGTCAATTTGCATTCTTTTTGAATTCACATTTTTTATTTCTAAAACCATAGGCTGCTTACAGAGGAACAGTAAATATTTGTCAACTACATGATCACTAAAAAATACAATGATATATGAAAATTCGCCAAATTCAGTAAATTATGTTAAAAATTCCAAACAAACGTCAGGCAAATGATTATGCTTCGATGTATCAAAAGACGCAAGCGTAAAAACGATTTCTCAGTTAGCTTGGTAACAGGAAAGATGGCTACTTTAACTCGGGCCCAGCTTCGAGGCCTTGAGACGAAACGAATATTTTTTACTATGTTATTGAGGTGTGGAGCCTTTTACATATTTTTAATGCAACGGTCTTAAATTCAAACATCTGGCATTTAAGATGTTTATTGCATTCTATATCTGTAAGAACCATTTTCACATCTATGTAATTGATTGCCTTTTTTTTTTTTTTTTTTTTTTTTTTTTTTTTTTTGTTTACTTATTTTCGGGAAGCTCAAAGATGCAGGCTCATATTTCGGCAGCAAAAGGTGAATGTTTTTTTACACACACGAAAAAAAAAAAAAAAAAAAGAAATTCTAAACTATGCAAAAATGTGTAATAATTCAAAACGTAAGGGAATATGTATAAAATTACATGCATTAAGATAGAACAGGTCGAATAATAACTATGCTTTCTTGCATAAAGAGAAAATTACGAAAGTGAGAATTTCTTTCCAGATGGACATATGGATGATGTAATTATCTCTTTTCAGTAGCTTAACAGAGAAGACTTTTTTAGTGATTTCTTTGTTAAGAACATAGTCCCTGGAGGAAAACATATTTTAACTTTCCGCGAAATTTTTTATCCTTTACGTAGCTATTAAGTTTACTTTCTAAAACTTTTTCAGTTTTCGTCTTTCTTTTCATCTCAGGAACCGATTTTTGCTCAGACTGTATTTTACCCTTTATTTTTTTTACGCTATGTCTCCTCTTTATCTTTCTGTGTTTTATCTTCCCAAAAAAATAAAGTCGACTAAAAGCTTTTCCAGATCCATATTAATAGAAAACAACGACGCAACGGGTTAAACGGCTGCGGTCTTTTTTTTTTTTTTTTTTTTTCCCTTTTTGATTATTTTCTCATTTTTATCTTCACAGACTGGCAACGGTGGAGGATTTGAAGCTTTGAAGTAACTAGATTTAGTTACGACTTCGAGAAAGTTATATTTTTCTTTCTTTATATTAAGATGCCCCTCAAGATAATGAATTTAAAAACTCATGTAAAATAACATCTTCCTTCTACTTTGAACTATTTTTCTCTTACTGCAAATTTCAACTTAAGAAATGGAAAATTTTGAGGAAGAAATCAAATAATATTTACCATAAGGAGGTGATAAAATCTTTTTAGTTCTCTATTATGATTAACAGCACTGTTATCATTTCTAATATCATTTTCTGTAATTTACAGATGACAGATGCAAAAACAAGAGAATGCACTGACTTTTTAAGCGCAAATAAATGTTTTAAATTTAGTTTTTTCATACAATAAACATGTAAAAAAAGTAAATATTTGTTCAAAATGTCTCAATTGTTTTTCAAAAGTGTCAATTATCTGAAACTCAAATAGCATGCGGGATGAATGCATAACCTGAAAGCAGCTCACGGGTCGGAATATTTTTCTGCTATTAATAAAAATTTAAAAAAAAAAAAATGTTTTATCAAAGCAAAATTTTAAATTTTATTTAGGGGTAACAAAAGGTTTCTACCAAAAATGTTCTTAATAAAATTAGAGAAAAAACACGAAAGCAGTAGCTTTAGTGCAGTAGTAATTTCAACCAAAATCTATGATTTTCTGCCATTCATTGGCTGTATTTCAAACCGTCGGCCCAGAAACATGGTGGCAGCAAGTCCAAAAACAGATCGATCTCATTTAGGACGTCCTGTTCAGAATGGAAGATAGCACCAGTAAGATATTGCTGCAGGTGTGAGAAAAGGTAGAAGTCCGAAAGAGCGATGTCGAGGCTATATGTTGGGTGTGGCAAAGGAGCCCATTGTAGTCCGTACAGAGTCCAGCCGGGGAATACATGTGGTCTTGCATTCACTTGATGGAACATTATCTTTTCATTCCGGAACTCAATTCGACGTTTTACCTTGATAGCAGCATCAACACGGACTAGCATCTCGCTGCACACCTTACGGTCGAGGGTTTTACTTTTTTCCGCATACTCATTGTGGATAATACCACGGCAATCCCACCAGATACAAAGGATGATCTTTACCGTTAGTGAAATTGCGACACTTCCGACGTGGTTACTTGGCGCAATCGAACTCCCTTTTCGGCCTGTGTTGTTGAAGTAAATTCACTTTTCATCACAAGTGACGATCCGGTTAGGAGTTTTGTCCTTGCGTTAATATTCGCGCAGATTAGTGCAGGCCGAACACGTCTGTCCTCATCTGCTTGAGTCAGCTCATAGGGTGTGTTGTTTTTTATATATATGTTGGATATGTGCTCAGTGATGATTACAAGATGTACACAAACATCGTGATTTACATTGCACCACCCATTTCTATATAAATATATAAGTTACCTTACAGATATACATCTCCCTCTTTTATAAAAATAATAATAAAGTGAAATTAAAATATTCTTAAAATAAGGTCTTAACAGTCCTACCAAATCGAGACCGTATTATGTCCATTTAAAAAAATTTGAGATACTATACCTCTTTCACTATGTGACACAACACTTTGTTAGGTTTGAAGGCTTACAGGCCATCTAAAATTGTACTGCTCCTGTATTTCTCAGGTATCTCGGGTTCATATATAATTCATTATCATAGTTGTTTTGTATTGCAAACTCTTTCTGATTATTTCCTTTAAAAAGGTCTCTTCGTTCCTTTCTACAATTCTCCATCTGTTTTTAACCTACTTGATGTGTGGTTCTTTCTGCTTCTTCTATAATTTCCCTCTTTCATTTAGTTTTCCCCTTTCTCATTTAGCAACATGATCTCCTATTTTCAGTGGTTTTAACGGTCTTGCCTTCCTATCATAATAACTTTTTTGTAAGGTTTGTCTCTTCAGTAAATGTTATTTATGGTCTTCATATCGTTTAGCTTGGACAAAATTCTCTTTTATAGGCATCCATTTACTTTTCTTCCAAACGTCAATTCTGAAAGTGACTTCATTTCATCTGAAATAGGAGAATTACAATATTCCAGTAATACCCCACCGGGCGGCTCGCATTCAAATCTATTTACGTCTCGAAAACTGCAGTAAAAATTTACCATGTTTACATTTTTTTTTTTTTTTTTTCGTTTAGAGTGAACCAAAATTGTCCTGAAAACGGCCATTGTTAGATTTTCTTCACCCCTTCTTGTAGGGCGATCAACAAGTCGTTTCACTTAAGTGATGGTTTCCTCCTGTCCTTTAATTACTGCCTAGAGGCGATTAAGCAGATGGGCTGGTTTTGCCCTTACGAAGGAAGGAACACGTTTTGTGTCCATGCTTTGGTTAGACGAAAAAAGAATTTTTTTTTTTTTCTGGAAATCCAAAACAGAAAAGGGAAGTTTTCTATTGCCTTGTTACTAATTTTGTGCATATTTCTGAATCTCTAATTGCTTATCAGAGCCGTGCCAAGATATTTTTTCACCTGAGGCAGAAAGATAAATGCGCGTCCATATATAATATAAAAATAGCTACATTTGTATTAAGCAAAGTAATTGTATTAAATCAAAATATCATAATTCCTATAGCATAATTATACCATAATTCTTAAAGTATTTTTTAATCGTAGTTTTATAAATTCAGAGAAATAATGTAGCCAATTATTTATAATTTTCAAATGAAAACGTTAAAAAATTCGTTTTTTGATAAATAAGAAATAACACTGAAATGCATATTGCATTAATTTCCAGGTTTTCTTGCAATTTTTTTTTGGTTTGTTTTATTGATTTAAGTTTGACGAAGCCTATTTCCCTAATAATTAAAGTAATTTTCGAATTCGTATAGCCAATTTGGCGCCTCTTCTAGTGATTTCACATGAGCCCACTTGCCTTTTTCCCGGCTTTGTTGCTTTTTAAGTATAAATGTTATTGATTTTTATTGCGTTTCGGTATTTTAATGTACGTTTTATAGAATGTTAATTTGTTTTTATATGCATATTTCAGTAATATAATCTTACGACTAGTGAGACAGTGTAGTTTAACTAATTTTCTGCTTTTGATTCATGTTATCGAGCTTTAACGCTAAGAAAAAATTTATAAGAGGCTTAAAATACCTAATTCCTATTGAAAGCTACATGTAATTGATAATTAAATTACTATTAAAATAACAAACACATGCTCAGTGTCAGTCATTTCGACATAATGTTTGTAATTCATTTTACCACAAATTTATTTCGTTTATCTTGTTTCATATTTATAAAAAGGGAGTTTACCTTTATCGCATTTATTGGTTGATAGAAGTTATGAAATATTGAATATTTTGAAACAAATTTCAGTCATAATAACCTTATTAAAATTTTTCTACATATAGACAAGATGTCCACAGATACCTCTCAGTTTCCGAACTAAATTACATGGTACTGAAATTCGGTGCATTTTCATATGATTATTTTTGACAGAAAGAGTTACCTTACGTAAATCACAAAAGAACATTGTTTTAATTCTTAATTAAATATAGCACTTGTATTAAATTGCTAAAATTCATTGTTAGGAAAATCTCGCTCTAAAAAATTAGACACTTTTACCTTTCAAAGTGGAAATTTTGCGGTTTTTCCTGTGCATAATGTGGGCGCGAGTAAGTTTTTCTTAGAATGTCCTCCTCGGAGGCATTCCTCCCTTTAGGCAGATAGCTCTCGCGTGCTTCGAAGAAAAATAAAACCAAAACAAAAGCTTCAGAATTGGTGTTTAACATATTTTTTGGGGGGTTCAAATACGCAAATTACTTAGAGATCTCAATTCACATTATCAAATGTTATTATTTAAATAAATAAAAGCAAGCTGAGGATTTCCATTTAAATTGTTTGTTTTAAAATAAAAATAAGAACAGTAAGTTTTGAATAAATCTTGTCAACATCAAGCAGGGACAGGAACATGCCAATGTAAAATTTAATATTAGGCCAAAAAGAAACGCTTTGACGTAGATTTTGGATAAAACTTAATCAAATTCGCAGGTAGTCAGAGACAGGCCTTTCTTCAGTAGAGAGAAAAAAATGTTTCTGAAGTATTTGTTACATAAATGTTTTAATGCTTCCATAGCACTGCTAATCGATAAAATTTATTTGATGAAAAGTAGGAAGTTTGCTTTTAAAATTCCGATTTTTCAACCTTTTTCAGTGACATATGTGGCATCGAAAAACACGTCTGGCCAGGAGGCAGATTAATGGCTGAAAAATTCTTAGAATTTAAAGAGGCATCGAACAAGAAAATTTAGGGATGGCGAAATTCTAAGAATTTGGCACTTGACAACAAAATTTATTGGCGGCAAAAGTTTTAGAATGTAGAGAGCTACAGAATTTAGGCAGGGCAAAATATTTTAAATTTATAGTAGAACATTGCACCTTTTCTATTACGCACTAAATCAAATATGTACGATTTCTGATATGAGAAATTTTAATTCCATAACACTAATATATTTTACTAAATTAAATAAATTTTCAAATATATATAATATGTGATTAAAAATGGTATTATTGGTATGGTACTATTCATTAAGGCAAAGCACACGAGGGTTAACTGCCTAAAGGGAGGGATGCCTTCGTGGAGGACTTTCTAAGGGAAACTGGCTCGTATACACGTTACACATGGGGAAAACCACGAAAACGACCATGCAGCCAGCCCGTTCGCGGGATTCGAACCTCGGACCGAACTACCAGTGTTCAGCGTCTTTACCGCTCGGCCGCTGGTGGGTAATATGTGATTATGAAAGCTGTGTAAAAGAAAAAAAATTCTTGCACATTCGTCAGGCAGCATACGATGGGCACCTGCTTGAGGAAAAGGATGCGTTTGTAGATGACTTTTTCAGGGAAACTGGTTTGGTATATTCAACCTAAAATTCACCAAAATACCAAGCAACGAACGCATTCGCCGGAATTCAAACTTAGGCAAAACTACCAGTGTTCAGTTGCAAAAGAGAGTTAACAACATAAACAGGCAACATGTCTGAAATTAGTATTTATTGCATCCAACAGTGATATGATTTTCTGATATAATTTAATGGAATATCACTGTAAAAGAATGGGAATCTTTTTTTTTTTTTTTTTTTTTCCCTTTTGTAAGGAGATTTTTTTTTCCGCTTTGTTTTCAACATTTGGTTGAAATGCAAATTAAATAAATATTTACAAATGCAGAATATTGGATAGTTATTGATGATTTCGAGATTCAGTTTTTCTGAAATCCATTTCATGTGTCATTTCCTTAAAAAGGTGATACTGAAACCAACTTTCGAGGAGTAAAATGATTACTAGAAAAGAGTTTCCGATTTCTTTCATTCTTTTATTCCCATTATAAATTTATCCCGTAGTTCTTAGAACATTCTTCTATCCGTAAGTGATGATTTGCTTTCCGAGAAAATTTTCTGAAAGGAATAAATTACTTAGTCTTCAAACCATGGGAAAATCTTGCCATCGCCGGTACTTAATTCCCTTCATTTACTGAGATAACCTGCTTTGTTATAAGTATGGTACTTGTTTTCTGATTTTTACTGAATTTGCATGCTCAAAGCTATCTAAATAAAGAAACGCTATTGTGAATATCAGGGTATGAGTACATATATGAAAGGGTTATATATTTTTTCAGAATTCCCCTATGAGCTGTTTATTCTTAGGGCAGAAAGAGGAAAAAGCTTGCATACATCGCCATTCCCGGAAACTAGACAGTACCGAAAACATTACTAGACAGTCCGGTTTACCAAACAATAGAGTTTATCTGATTCCTAGTTGTAAAAGCTGACAGTTATAAAATTGTTATGTTCATGGCGACCTTCAGAAGGCATCAAATTACTTCAAAAGTTCCGCTGCTATAAATTTTCAGACTGCAATTTTGTTCCTTTAAAATTTTCGAAAATACCTATTTTTTAAGTATTTTTCGGTACTTATATTAATATGATACAAATAATATAGAAAGCACCAAACGTAGCTATGATGTATTTCAATTTGTCCTTAGTATTTTTTCACATATAG